TACTATTACCCCAGCAGACCTGAGAGCATTCTGAAACGATCTCAACTTCCTGGGAAGCATACAGTGCAAGCAGCCATTTATAGGCGCTAAAACACTATCATACTGACAAGATCTTTCGCTATCTACGGCCGGGTACCCATTCCCACCTGGGTGAAGTGAGGAAAATTTGTGTAAAGTGCCTTTCCCAAGGACACAACGTCGGGCCCATGACTCGAACCCCCGAACCAGCAACCTCACGTTTATGAGTCCGGTAGTCTAACCACTAGGCCACTGACGCCACGTTGTACACTATTCGCCACTATCATACGCACGCTCTCTCTACTAATCAGACGGCGTTAATCTCATATAAATGGGCAAAGAATCAACAAAAGTTGTAGATCTAGTAGCGGTGATAGTCTCAATCATCTCCACTATTGTCATATCTATCGCGTTCACACCTCACACCTGGCGAAAAGACGGAAGCCGCGCCACAGTGCCCCACCCACAGTGGATGCTCAGAAGATTGGGAGGGGGAGGGAGGTGGGAGGTGGGGCAGCAACAGACATAGCATGTACCGTCTGGGATGATCCTACCCTCGTGGACAAATAGGCAAATAGACAAACAGATAAATAGACAAATAGACAAATAGACCCACCCATGATGAAGAAATGTGTTGTGTGAAGCATCGTGTTGAATACGGCCACACCCCACCACAGGTTGGTGAAACTTCCCGATCTTATAAAGCGTAGAAGTGAAAGGAAAAACATTTTATTCTTCCGCAACTCTTTCAACCTTCCAGACAGTAGTCCCAGGAGACAGATTCTCCTCTTCTAACAAGGTCAGCTGTGTTTCTGAGAGATTCTTATCACTGTACGTTTGTAGATTTGATGGTGACTGTGTTGAGAGGCGTGACGCTGTGTGTCCCGTCGACAGATAAAGTTGGTTGTTGTGACAGGATGGTCCATCTGAGATAGAATTGTAATAGTTTGCTGTCCCCGTGCTTTTGTGCAAGAAAAGTTCCGAAATTATGCAAACTGAGCCCAAAAATGTGAAATTATGCGATTATGTTAATTTTAACAAAGAATGCTAAAGGAAAATAATCAAAGATTATGCAAAAAATGATCAAATTGGGCTAAATTATGCGGGGTGCATAAAACCGCGGGGACAGATTTTGAGATACTGAGACTGAGGGCGATCCTTCTATTGGTTGTGTGTTTGGTTCACGTCTGTAGATACACAAACAAACAGATCACGTCTGTAGATACACGAACAAACAGATCACGTCTGTAGATACACAAACAAACAGATCACGTCTGTAGATACACAAACAAACAGATCACGTCTGTAGATACACGAACAAACAGATCACGTCTGTAGATACACAAACAAACAGATCACGTCTGTAGACACATAAACAAACAGATCACGTCTGTAGATACACGAACAAACCGATCACGTCTGTAGATACACAAACAAACAGATCATGTCTGTAGACACACACAGAGCACTGGGATCTGGTGAATGGGACACCACAACAACAACAACAACAACAACAGCGACAACAACAACAGCAGCAACAACAACATTGTATAGCAGCACAGTGAGACGCATGCAAGGATTTTGTTAACTATGTTATTTGCTCTTTGAACTTCTGTTTGTTTGGTTTTACTTTAGGTTGTTTTTTTGGGGGGAGAGATGGTTGTTTGTTGATTGTTTTGGGGGAGGGGGGGATGGTTGTTTTGTTGATTGTTTTGGGGGAGGGGGGATGGTTGTTTTGTTGATTGTTTTGGGGGAGGGGGGGTTGTTGTTTTTTAAAATTTAAATGATACATTTTTTAAAGAAATTCTCGGCGTAATTATAATGATAATAATAATAATCATAATATAGTCATGACATGTTCACGTTTACCGCTCCAATCAATGCTATAACTTCCTTTATTTGGCGGGGCTTCTTTCCGATGTGACCACACTGGGCTATGATAGAATGATAGAATTGTGTCCTGGGCTATGATAGAATGATAGAACTGACTGCATTGTGTCCTGGGCTATGATAGAATGATAGAACTGACTGCATTGTGTCCTGGGCTATGATAGAATGATAGAACTGACTGCATTGTGT